AGCTGGGCAGCTGGGTTTCCTCCTGTGGGGAGTGGCGCAGAGCCAGCAAGGACCCGCTGGGAGGGGCTGGGCCCCGGGTCACACAGCAGGGACGCCCCATGCCACCCAGGCTGCAGGCCCGGCACCTGCCACTGGGCCAACCTTCGGGTTCACCCCTGCAGGACCCTGCACGCGCCCCTCCCCTGGTGACCCCAGGCAGTAAGGGGCCCTCGAGCTCAGAGCAGGTCAGGCCTCCACTGGGCCACATCTAGCAGGTGCAGCCTGGCACGGCCCTGACTAGAGATGAAAGCACCCGGACCCACAAGGTGCCAGAGGCCTCACAGCCTCAGGCTGATACGAGCTCCGGGCAAGCAGTTCAGGGGAGACCGTGGTGCGCTGGCTCTCTTGCCCAGGGAGACATAACGGGCAGGAGGCCCTGGGGCAGGTGAGGGTCACACGGGCAACCGGGCACCTACACCAGTCTCTGCCATGCATGGCTCCAGCCAGGACACCCGGGCTGCCCCCAACCTGCACCTAGGCCAGGTTTTGTCTTTCCAGGCAAAGATGCTCCATCCCGGGCCTGCTGCAGCCCCTGAGCACGGGCAGGCCCCACTACCCAGCACAGCACAAGGGGGTTGTGCTGCGGGACACACTGTGCTCAGGCTCTGGGGCCTGGGGACACGTACAGCCAGGGGCCCGGCTGCCCGAGCCAACCTTGTGAACTCCTCACCCCAGTCCCTGGTCCAGGGCATCCCTTCCCAGGAGAGAAACCATGAAGGCCAACTGCAGGAAGCGGGGCGCAGGCAGCAGGCAGGCAGGGCCCCGCTTCAGGCCACCCAGGCACTGGCTGGCACCCACAGGGTCCTCCCAAGTGGGCACCCGAGCCACACAGCAGGAGGCAGGTGCATGGCGGGGACAGGAGTGAGATTAGGCCAGCTGTCCCCTGTCCAGACGGCCACCGGCTGTGGGCAGGACATCTGCTCACACAGCTGCGTAGGGCCAGGTGGGGCCTGCTTCTGTCTCACCTCAAATCCCACCACACAGCCATCGGCACTCCTCCCGTCTCTCTGCTCCGGGGCTTGGGCAGCCTGCAGATGCTGGGCCAGGGGTCTGGTCCTGGCCTGCACTGGGGCCCAGGACAGAGCCCCCTCCCAGGGCAGAGAGATGCAGGGGCAGCAGGGCTACGTGAGGGGCCAGGACCACCCTCCCTCTGCTCCTGCACCTGCCTACGCCTGCCCACACCACCCTCTGCTCCTCCCGATCAGACATGGAACCATGCCCACCCCACGGCCACTCCTCTCAGCCCCTGGAGCTTGACCAGTGCCCACTGCCGGGCGTCCGGTGCAGGGCAGCTTCCCAGGGGCCTCCTGGGCCTACGCCAGCCGTCCAGGACAGCCCCACTGCAGGGACCGGCCCTCGCCCCGCCCCGTGTGCTCGCTGGGCATCCAGAGCTGGGGGTCTGCACGTGGACCCGCCACAGCCCCTCCTGGCCCAGGCCTGACCGTCCACTATGCCCCAGCCCTGACCTCCTGGCAGCCGCCTGCTCTGCACAACTGCCCCACCTCAGACCTCTGCCAGCCAACAGTCCTCTGCAGTCCAGCAGATCCCACCTTCAAGCCACCCTCCTGCCAGGACTCTGCCCAGTCTCGTCCCCCCAGGGCCTACCCGGTGCCCCCGTTCACAAGGCTGTCAGATCGGGGAGTCCCCAGCTGCACCCCAGGATCTGCGCACCCAGGCAGATGCAGGGGCCAGGATGAGGCCATTCCTTTCCCATCTGCTGCCAGCACCTACGCAGGAAACAGCACCTTCCGTGCCCCAGGCGGTGGCCTCCTCTCTGGGTCCCTAGAACAGCCCCAATGCAAGGCTTTCACAAACAGGGGTGGCCCCACACCCACTCAAGCACTGGGCTGGGATCCAGGCACAAGGAAGCTTCCTCTGGGTCTAGGGATGAGAGCCACCCAGGGAGAGGTGCGAGACACGTAAAGAGCTCTCACTACTCAACAACAAAAAGGCAGGCGAAGGGACTGAGCAGACCGTTCTCCAAAGAAAACACACACATGGCCAGGGAGACCCCTTCACAGCACACACCCACAAGGGCAGACAGGCGGAGACGCTCGCGGTGAGAACCAGAAACTCACATCTGCCCACGGAGAAAAGTGACCACGGAGGTTCACAACGTTATTCAAAATAACCAGACAGCAACAGCAGCCCAGACACCTACTGCTACATGGCTTTAACTGCTGTCTGTTCATCATAAAAAGGAGGGCAACACGGATTCTCGCTGCAGCACCAGGGAGCCCCCAAAACAGGAGGCTGAGCAAGAGCAGTCACACACAAAAGGCCACGAAGCTCAGGATCCTGTTTACACGACCCATCCCAAGGAGGAAAATCCATGGAGACAGGAAGCAGATTAGCGGTTGCCAAGGCCTGGAGCAGGGAGTGAGGGCTTAACCGGGATGAGGTTTCTGGGGTGAGGAAAATATTCTGGAATGAGATAGTGGTGATGGCTGTGCAGCCCCGTGAACACATCAAAACCACTGAGCCGGGGACTTGGCCAGGACCTGAGTTACAAGCAGTAACAAAAGCGCTCTGCAGGCCTCATGCTGCTCGGCCGGCCGGAGCCGTCGCTGGGGTCCCAAGTGCCCTAGCACCCTGCCTGCACTGACGTCAGGGCGGCGGTGGGCTCCGGGCCACACTGGGGGACACGGGCCTTTTGCACACAGGCCGCAGCCTGCAGACCCCACAGCAGGCCTCGGTGTCCACCCTAATCTTCCCAGACCGGCCTGCAGATGTTTCCTGAGCAACGAGAATGCACACGCCAAAACCAAAGCACAGGCCCAGGGTTTACGACGGTGCCTTCCGAGGCCTTTTAAAGAAAAGGAGCTGGAAGCCCCCGGCCTCCTGCAGGCCTCTGCTGGGGGCGGCTCAGGCTGCACAACATTCCAGAGGAAGGGCTGCAAGGTGCCCGGGCCCCACCAGGGACAACCCCAGACATCGGTTCTGCCCCTTCCCGAGGACCCCGGAGGGGGACCCAGCAGGGGAGCCAAAGTCTGAGGCCACCCTCACAGCCTCCTCCCGAGAAAGGCCTGGGTCCGTGTCCCCAACCCGAGACCTCAGGCTGGCCCCTTCCTGTGCCCTTCCTCGCTGGGCACCAGAGAACCCAATGGCAATGACACCTGCTAAGTGGGCAGGATGCCGAGCTGGCCAGGGGAGGAGAAGAGGCGGCCCCTGCCCCTTGGCGGGCAGCCAGCCTGGAGGGGTCCGACCGTGGGGTGGCCAGAGGCCTCCAGAAGGGCAGGGCAGCCCGCGCGGGCCAGGGTTGGGTTGCAGTCGGTGAGGGGCAGGGAGGGCTCCCGGGGGCCACGTGACCCTCCCCGGGGCCAGCCTCTCCTCTCCGGGTTCCTGGGCTGTAACTGGAGCCGCGTTCCTGCCTGGGAGCCTCCGTGCCAGGCAGAACTGTGGAGGGAGAGGGGGAAGGGAGAGGAGAGCCCCAGATTCCAGCTCCTTCTCCCTCCCTCTCTACCGCCCCAGCACAGTCCGTACCCACAGGAGCTGCCCTGCTAGGGCCCCACCAGCTTGGGTCCTGCCTGGCCCTTCAGTGTGTGGGGCCATCTTCTCCCTCAGCACAACCCGGCCCCCTGTTCCCTTCTCGGGCCACCCTTCTGGAATCAACTCCAGGGGGCCCAAGGTGCCAAGCCTGCCCCTCCTGGAAGCTGGCTCTGGGAGGCACCCAGGCTTGGTCCATCCAAGTCCTCGCTACCTCCGTTTCAAGTCCCCAGCACAGATGGGTGCCCCCAGGGAAGCTGCCCGCAGAGGTCCTTTGGGGCCAAAGAGGTGGGCAGAGGGGCTGACCCAGAGCCACAAGCCAGGCTCTCTGCACCTTCAGAGCCAGCGCCCAGGGTTCAGCCCTGCCAGGGCGCCAAAGCACTCGTTTAGACCTCTGAGTTGCAAGCACAGAGGCTTCCCCAGAAGAGCCCCTTAGTCTCGCGTGACAGCTGAATTTGGGACCACAGGACAGAAGTGGACCCCGGGGGAGCAGAGGCCCAGACGAGCGCTGGGTGTGTCGGGGCTGGGAGACGGAAAGGCACGGCTGGCTGCCCCGCAGCTGTGACTCACAGGGACCTGGAGCCAGGAGGCCACCCTCGGCCTCCTGCCCACCCCATGGGAGGCAGGGGTGACAGCCCCAGACCCTCACCAACCTGGGTGGGGACCCCAGGGACCGCGACCCTAAGCTGACCCTGGAAGGCAACCCAAGAGAGAGGAACGGACAGAAGAAAGGAGGAGAAAGAAAAACACAAAGGGAAAGTTTCCCATGAAAATATTTTATTTTCTTTGAGAACAGGATACACCTGCAGGGCTGCTCGGCCCAGCGGCCTCTCCCTGCCCCGCCGAGGCCGGATTCCTGGAACTACGGGGCCCTCTGCCGGCCAGGCCTCCGCGCGGCGCCCGGCCAGGGAGGAACAGGTGACCAGCGAAGGGCGGCGGCTGGGCGCCGAAGGCGGGCGGACCTTGGGCCGGGGAGGGAGGGGACAGCGGGGCGCCGGGCGGTGCCACCCTGGACCCCGCGCCCAGAAGGGTGGCTGGGTTCGGGGACCTCAGCCCGGAGGCGGGGAGAGGGGAGGAGGCACGGGCCGAGACGCGGCCGAGGCCACGCAGGGACGCGGGGCCCCGGGACGGGCACCCCCGCCGGTCCCGCCTGCGCTCCGTCCGGCCGGCTGGCGGCGTGGGCAGCAGCGCGGAAAGCAAACCGCTCCCGCTCGGAGGACCCCTGGGGCTCCGCACAGGACGTCTGGATTTTGTACCTATTTTTGTTGTTGTTAAAGTAACTTCTGGAGCGGAGGGGGCGGTGGAAGCTGTAGCCTCTCGGCAGCAGCGCGGCGGCCTACGGCGGGCGGTGACCCGGGATCGGGCGCGGAGGCCGCCCCGCGGGGCCCGATGCGGCGAGGACGCCCAAACACCGCTCGGCAGCGCGCCGAGCACCTGGCCCGCCCGCCCCGGCCCCCGTCCCTCGCGGCACCTACCCGAAGTAGGCGGCCGAAGGGCGCGGCGCGGCGAGCAGCAGCGTCAGCCCGAGGGCCGCGGCCAGCCAGCGCGCCGAGAGGAACCCATCCAGCATCTTGCCGCACCTCGGCGGCCGACCATCGCGCTCCCGGCTCGGCGCAGGGCGTGCCGCGGCCACCGCCCTCTTATAGCGCCCGGGTGTGGGCTGCAGGGGCGGGGCGGGGCGGGGCTCGGGGGCGTGATCACGGGTCCGAGGGGGCGGGCCCACTGCCGGAAGGTTGGGTGGGGGCGGGGCCGGAAAGGGGCGGGGCCTGGAAGGGAGGAGCCGCTGGGCGCGCTGAAAGGGTGGTGGTGGGAGGGCGGGACTACCCCGGGTCCGGGCCAACGGGAGCCCGGCGTGGGTGGTGGGCGGGGAGGTGGGCGGAGCAGAGTGGTTGGGGCGGGGCCGCAGGGCCGGGAGGAGCCGAAACCTGAGCAGCGTGGCCTGGCGGGGGCGGGGGCTTCGGGAGACGCGCGGGGGCGGAGAGGCCGGGAGGCTGGCGGCCGGAGGGCGTGGGGCCAGTCGGGTCGGCGTGGGTCCAAGACCAGGGTGTTGCCGGGGTGTCGGCTTCCCGCCCGGAGCGGGGGCGCCCTGCCGCTCCCCAGGAAGCTTGAGGAAGAGGACGTGGGATCGGACCCCCTTTGGGCCTGGAATCGGGGCAACCTGTCCCCGGGGTAGCCGGGTGTCCCCCGCGGTCCCCGCAGCCCTAGCAGAGCCCAGCTGTCTGCCGCTCCCAGGACTCCGTGACAGTGTGCAGGGCCTCCGCGCGACCCCAGCGGGTTCCTGGAGGGCAGCACCCGAGGCCTGGCGACCCGTCCTGGAGGGGAGGCCTCCCTGCGGCCGCACTGCCTGGCAGGGGTTCCCAAAGACCAGCCGTGGCCACCTACCTGTGCTGGCTGTAGCGGAGGAGGCGCAGGAAGGCAGAGGTGGTGCCCGTCCTGCCCTGGAGCTCACGGCCGAAGCTACCCAGCAGACTCAGGGTCTGGCCAAACCACATCCACTCTGGGCCTCAGTTTCCACACGTGAGGCCCATTGTCCCATTGTAGCCCATGCCCAGCCCTTGCATCGAGTGTGAGCAGCCTCAGGTCAGTCCCGGTTTCTGGGATCCCCTGTGGGGCTCCAGCAGCCAAAGGCACCCCAGAGGCAGCCCCAGACCCGACTTCCACCTGAAGGTGCTCACTCCAGCATCCAAGGAGGGCGGGCCGGGAAGCAGGAGACGGGATGACATGCTTAACAGCACAGGACAATGTCCAAGACAAAAGACATGAGGTCGCCTAGCACTGGGTGTCGCAAAGCTCCCTTCCCTCGTGAGGGGGCCCTGTCCCATCGGCCACCCCGCGAGCCCTGCGGAAGCAGGCAGCCAGCCGGCCAGGAGCAGCTCTGGGGCCAGCCTGGAATGGTGTGAGGAGTGCGGGAAGGATGAGCTCTAAGTGGACCTGGGAAGGCTCTGCACTTTGTGATGTAATGTGTCCGGGCAGCCACAGCATGGCCGGCCCAGGGCCTCCAACCCGCCCGGAGCTCGCACTGCGGGCACCTGTCAGGACCCTGGAGGGCCAGAGCATCGCCCTGGAGGAGAGCCAGCCCTGTGGGTGGGGCTGCTGGCACATGGGCCCCAGGTGGGTGGCAGGCCCTGGGCGTGGCATGGTGGGTGGCCTGGTCACACGTGTGCACGTGGTGGCCCACGTCAGTGTAGGGGAATGCTGGACCAGGCCTGCGGGTCTGGGAGAGCTGCTCAGCCCCAGCCGCGCCCCAGTAGCTGGCCTCTGGAGACCCTCCCAGGCCGAGACTCACTGCCAGCAGCAGCACCCCCCCCATCCCAGGCCTGATGTCTCCCATGGGGCCCGGGGTGCTACGTGGCCCTACCCACCAACACACCAGCCGGCGACACCTGGCCCGCCCCTAGGCATCACCGCAGCTCTCACCAGTGTGGAGGCTCGGCCATCCCCGTGTGCCCTGCTCGCATACCTGGGAGGATGGATGGGTGGACGGACGTAGAAGAAGCTCTGTCCTCAGGCGGTTGCTGCCACACACAACGCAGTGCTCACGAGGAGCTGAGCAGCTGTGGTGAACTCCCACCCCGAACCTCTACCAGGCCAGCCTCTGTGGTGCAGGGGCCCCAGAGGGCTGCAGGACCCCCTCAGCCCCTTGTGTCCCTACCTTGGGTGAGTGAGGAGGGCAGGTCCCAGGACAGGCAACTACACCCTCTGCTGTGCCAGTCCACCCTTGTTTCCCTGGGGCTGGGGCATCCCTCTGTGTCTGGAAGGCCCATCTCCCCTGCTGGGGTGCCCAGGCCTACAGAGCCATCCAACAGGGGGTGGGGCCAGGCCCACGCACACCTCCCCCAGCTGACACCACTCAGGCCTCAGTTCCCCCATTGTGTGCCTGAGGCTGGGTGGGGAGGCTGCCGGGAGGAGTGGGGCCACTCCCCTGGGGAGGCAGTGACCACCGAGCCACCTGAAACAGAGCTGGGCAGAAAGCCCAGAGCACCGGCCATGGCCGAGTGAGCTCGCACTCTGTGACGGGGAGTGTGAGTGTGTGTGGCAGGAGGACCCCAGGGCCTGGCAGCTCCATCAGGCCCAGTGCCTGTGTGGCCACAGCCGCCCCCTGCTGGTCAGTGAGGAAAGAGGCCTGCGTCCCAGGGCGGCGTGGTACTCGGTGTCCCAGACGGATCTTGTCTAAGGGGCCTGAGGCTCCAGCTGCAACCAGCTCAGGCCCTGGCCCGGGAGCGATGCCCAGGGAGCATGTTCCTCCTGACGAGAAGACCATGACTGACACCACTGCGTCCCCTGTGAGCTGTGTGTCAGAGGCTGAGGAGCAGCCGAACAGGGGTCCCTTTGTGTTCTCTTCTTGTTCCCCAGGGTGTCACCCACAGACTGCAGGACATCTGAGCCCGGATCTCACAGGCCCAGTGGCATGCTGCTGCCCTCGCTGGTGCTGTTCAGTTCTGGGTAGTTCACACACGTGGCGGTTCCGGTGTCCCCTGCCGTCGAGATATCCAGCGCTGCTCACCTAGGAGCTCTGCGTGCTGCCTTTCTGTAGCTCCTCCCAGCCCTCGGCACCCACTGGTCCTTCTCCACCCGGCACTCTGTCATTTCAGGGATGCTACCTGGACACAGCCTTTCAGGGCTACTTTCCTCTGCGTGATTCTGTAGGGAGCACTGTGCTAGGGAGCCTCAGTCTTGCAGCAGAGCCGCTCCCCATACTCATCCACCCCTTAGTCCATGCGTGTGTTAACCCATTCGTGACCACAACCCACTCCCTCAACAGGCCCGCCCCGATACCATTAACACGTGACCCTGGGGCTGAGTGTCCCGCCTGTGGGATATAGGGACACATTCACTCTGTAGTGCTGGCTCCGTGGATGCACCATGGACCACAGTCATCGGACCATTCACCCGTTGAGGAATCTGGGCTGGCTCCGTCTCTGGCTGTGAACACCACATGCAGGTTTCGTGTGCACTTCAGTTCCCTTTCTCTGGGATAAATGCCCAGGAAGCAACATGCTTGGTTTTGTAAGAAACTGTAAACTGGGCCAGGGATGTAGCTCAGTGGTTCTGCCACCTGCTTCGAAAGCACAAGGATCCGAGTTTGATCCCCCATACCAAAAACAAGGAAACTGTAAAGTCTCACAGAGAGGCTGGGTCGCCAGGCACATTCTGCACTCCCAGCAGCAATTAATTGTGACCCAGTTTCTCTGCATCCTCACCAGGGTGTGGGCTGTCACTGTCCTTTATTTGAGCCATTCTGACAGCTCTGTTGTGGTTTTGGTTTGCATTTCCCTCATGGCTAGCAACATCTGTATATCCTCTTTAGTCCCAATTGGGTTTTTAACACAGTTTTGAAAGCTGTCTGTATATTGTGGGACCGTTCTTTTGCAAATGCAGTTTGCAAATATGTCCTCCCCAAATGTAGCTTGTCTTCACTTGGACTTTTGTTGAGAGAAGCTTTCTAAGTTGATGAAGTCTGGTCCACCAGTATTTCCTTTTCTGGATCATGCTTTTGCTGTCAAGTCTAAGAACTCTTCACCTACCCATGAATGCCAAAGATTACCCGATTTCTGCAGCCACATACTCAGCCTACCATCCGGTAGAGTGGCCCCTCTTCTTCATTATTCCTTGTTCCAGGGGCTGGGGATTTAGCTCAGTGGTTCCGCCGCCTGCCTCACAAGCATAAGGTCCCAAGTTCAATCCCCTGGTACCAAAAAAAAAAAACAACCAAAAAACAAAAAATCGTACTAAAATGTATGATCTTCCTCAAAAAACAAAACAAAATAAAAAAATCATTTCTGCCGGGGATGTAGCTCAATGGTTCTGCCACCTGCCTTGCAAGTGGAAGGTCCCAAGTTCAATCCCTGGTACCAAAACAAAACAAAACAAAACAATCACTTGTTCTGCATTGTTTCAGGTATTCTAGGAGCCATGCCTTCTGTATACATTTAAGAATACGCTTATCTGTGCCTTAAAATTTTTGCTGAGGCTTTTATAGAAATTCCATTAATCCTAGATCAATTTGGGGAGAACTGGCATCATTGTTCTGTTGTTTTCCAATCCAAGAGCATGGTGTATCTGTTTATTTAGGTTTGGTTTATCTTCTTTCATCATCATTTTGAAATTTCAACATGCCCTATAGATTTTTGTTAAGTTTATAACTAAATATTCCATTTTTGTTGGATGACTACAAATGATGTTTTGTGTTTATTCCATTTCCATGTTTGTTCCAAGTATATAGAGATATGCTTAAATTGCATGTGTGTGTGTGCATGTGTGTGTATGTGTATGTGTAAGACAAGATCTCACTATGTTACCCAGGCTGGTCTTGAACTCCTGAGCTCAAGTGATCCTCCTGCTTCAGCCTCCTAAGTATCCGGGACTCTAGGTACATGCCACTCTGCCTGGTAGGTGAGATCTTGTATCCTGTAATATATGGAACTCATCAGTTACAGTTCTTTAAAGACCCACTGGGAGTCCTAAGTAGATGATCATGTTCTCTGCTGACAGGCAGGGATTATTTCTTGCTTTCCTATCTGTAGGCCTTCTGCCTCCTCTTTCTGCCTCCTTATCCTGGCTGTGTTGGAGTTCTGGTGTGGGCAGAGCTGACGCCCTTGCCTTGCTCTTGATTTTCTGGGGAAATTGTTCTTCTTTCATCAGCAGTGATGTTAG